ACTATATATATATATATATATATGAGAAGGGTCTATGTTTTGAATAGATAATTTCCTTAAATAATGCTGTTCTTATAGTACCTACTTGGTCATGAATGAAACAAAATCCAACTAAGCAGAATATGAAGTTGTTTTATTTGAATTTAAATAAGTGTAAAAACATGGAATGACTATAACTGACCTATACCTCTGTACACAATTTTTTAGTATAAACACCTTGTCTTTCTGGATAATTTGTCACCTTTGCTAAGATCTTGAGATTTTTTCTTGATCGAACTCTTGAGTTCCCCGGTGGGACGACTGTAAGTCTACGAACTTACAACACTAAAATCAGAAGTTCGATTCCCTGTGGTGAACACAACAGATAGCTCAATGTGGCTTTGCTCTAAATCAAACAAACAGAAAAACAAACTCTTGCTAAAGCGACGTTAATAAAATTGTGAATTTTGAATATTGTGGCACCAATAAGTGTAAAAATCAACTATCATGTGCTTTTTGTAAATTTCTTGAGTATATATATGTCTAAATCGCATTTGCTTGTCACTTGAAACCTGTAATTATTTTCTTGCAAGCAATGCATTAGCTGTAGAATATCGAAAATGAAAGTTGTGACAGTGACTATTAAGACTAATTTCCGTAGATTATTTGGCGAGTAAATTCAAACTTTAGTCCAAATTGTCAGTTTTTAGGCACTTATAGGAATCTGGATTGAGATGTAATGGTATTACGTTATTTATCAGCAGGAAAGGTAAGAAATTAACATTGTGTTTCCTTGTGTGTTTATGTTACGGAAATAATTGTCTTTAAAATTAATGTTATAAACGTCCTAGTTTCACACTTGTAAAGAACAATGTATGTTAATTGTCGTTAATTTTTGCACTCATGAAAATACCACTATACAAATAGCCAATAGGAATACTGGGTTTCCATGTGAGCTAGCACGCATACACGCACGTACGCAAGGACTGAGTGACTGACACACATTGTTCTTTTAATTACAAATAGAAACTTGAATATCATATAAATCAACAGAGTAGGGTACATGAAGCTGTATTTTAAAGGTAAAATATAAGGAAAATAAAAATTACAGTCTAAACGTAGGTGATTTAAATGCAATTTTGTTTTGCACAAAAATATCAGTTAAAACAATCTGCACATAAGCTTTATAAAACTACGCAATGAATGACTTTAATAAATAAGCAAAAACTTTTTCAGTAAATAAAATAATGTTGAACAATTAACACCCAGTCTGCGAGTCAGGGAGACATACTGGCAGGTTAATTCCCAAAGATTTTTTACTTTTTTATAATTCTCAATAGATTTGACCTCGTTGCAATAAATAGAATCTGAATTGCCACCAGAGTGGTCAAATTTGCACTAATTCTCACGCTATGATGGAGTAAAACTAACACACCAATTCAAAATCCCACACAAAACATCGTAATAGTAACATGTTGTGCAATATACTATCTGATTCTTCAGCTCTAAGAAGCAGTTTTCTCCGCGGGTTTCGCGAGACCTGTCGGTAGTGGCAGCCACTGCAAAATGGCTAAGTGCGACACCTACCTGAGCATGAAAACGTTTACTATATTGTGCATGAAAAATAGTCTGTTCAACTCCCTAAACTCAGCATTTCTGTGGCTAAACATTATTAAGAAGAGAGTTCGTTTGACAATGATGTGTGCTTTTTTAGGCTAACATATCCATCCCTTTATTGGAATACATTTTTGTAGTTCTAACTTGAATACCGAAAACCCTCTGTAGCTCACCCAATCTCCCGAATTCGGTCTCATTGACTCACAGATTGGGTGTTAAAATATGCAAAAATCCAGCTAATTTTTAAATACATGATACGTAAATAAATTCGTTAAAGACCATTCATTTTATAAATGCAAGCTTTTATTTGATGAACTGATTCATGTTTATTTGTGCAAATCGTCAAGAAATTAATGTCGCTTTTTTTTTAGATGAAAAAACCCGAACAACTTATATATCAAAGCAAAACATTTATCAAATGAATAGTCTCCATTCTTATCGACGATGCTTTTCCATCTTACAATCAGGTTTTTAATGCCCTGATTAAAGAAATCACT